GGTTGGGCGCCGCTGGCGCCGCGGGGCGCGGGGGGCCGCGGCCGCCGCTTGCGGCCGCGGCCGCCGGGCTCCCTGCGCCGCGGGCGCCGCGGGCGCCGCGGGCGCCGCTGGCGACGCGGGCGCCGCGGGCGCTGCCGGTGCCGCGGCCGCTGCTTGCGGCCGCCCCCCCGGGCCCCCCTGCGCCACGGGCGCCGCGGGCGGTGCTGGAGCCGCGGCCGCCGCCTGCGGCCCCTCCCCCGGGCTCCCTGCGCCGCGGGAGCCGCCCCCCCTCCTGCGGCCGCGCCGCCGCCGGGCCCCCCGCGCCGCGGGCGCGCGGGCGCCGCGGGCGCCGCTGGCGGCGCCGGCGCCGCGGGCGCTGCTGGTGCCGCGGCCGCCGCTTGCGGCCGCCCCCCCCCGGGCCCCCCTGCGCTTCGGGCGCCGCGGGCGCCGGGTGCCGCTGGCGACGCCGGCGCCGCGGGCGCTGCTGGAGCCGCGGCCGCCGCCTGCTGCCGCCCCTCCGAGCTCCCCTGCGTCTCGGGCGCGCGGGCGCCGACGGCGCCGCGGGCGCAGCTGGTGCCGCGGCCGCTGTCTGCGGCCGCCCCCTTGGGCCCCCCTGCGCCGCGGGCGCCGCGGGGCCGCGGGCGCCGCGAGCGCCGCGGCGCCGCCGGCGCCGCTGCCGCCGCGGGCGCAGCGGGAGCCGCGGCCGCCGCCCGCGGCCGCCGCCCGCGGCCCCTCCCCCGGGCTTCCCTGCGCCGCGGGCGCCGCTGGCGCCGATGGCGCCGCCGGCTCCGCGGCCGCAGCTGGAGCCGCGGGCGCCGCCTGCGGCCGCCAGCCCCGCAGCCTGCCCGACAGCCCGCCCTCGACAGCAGCAGCAGTAGGGCACCCCTGGAAGCCGGCAGCAGCAGCAGCTGCGCAGCAGCTGCAACAGCAGCAGCAGCAGCAGCAGCAGCAGCAGCAACATCTGGCACCCAGGGGGCCGACGCAGCAGCAGGGCTGCAGCTGCAGCGACAGCAGCCTCACACGTGTCAATGCAGCTTGCAGCCTTCAGCTGCCTCCCTGGGTTTTACTGGGCTCGCCCTGGGTCTTCTCGGATACGATGGGGCCTAGGAACAACCAAGGTCCCACCCGTCGCTGGCCATCGTGCCTGCCACACAGTGAGGACGGCCCGCCAGTCAGGCTGGGCTCTCGTGTCTTCCTTGCTCGGTACTGTCCCTGGATGCGTTGGGCCTTCTTCAACGGTGGTTGGCGCTACCGGTGCGAGAGACAACTGGCAGAGTGGCTGGAGCTCTGGCTGGCACGACGACCAGTGGCAGTCAGGCGGCAAGCGTGGTGGCGGCAGGCCAGACGATCGTGGCGAGAAGGGGCTACGGTGGGGCGACTGAGCCCCCCCCCCATCCCCAAGAGTTTCAGGTGCAGCGTCCGATTTTCACACTCTGTGCAGCCTTCAGCTGCCTGCCTGGGTTACGTCTCATTTACTCGTGTGGCGGCCTTCTGCCGCCCTCCCTGGTGCGCGCACTTCCTGCCTTTGGGCCCAAGTGTGTTTACCAGCAATACCGTCTGCATGACAGCGCTGGGGCGTGTTGCGTGCAGGCCATAGTTGGCCCCTGGCCCCGCTGTAGTTGTTTTCACCCCTGGCTCTGTCGGACTTCGTCCCCCGGCCTCGCGGCTCTGTGACCGACTCTGTGTATGCTCGTCACGTTAGATGCTCCCGGGTACGCGTCCCTGCTCTTATCTCCGGTTGGCAGCCGCCTGCGACTTGTGCTTGGTAGAGGATTGGGACAGTGGTACCTTCCGCATAGCGTCACATCATGTTACTTGATGGCTCGCTTGCGAACGCATCTATTCGAGGTTGTCTCCTGGGACTGACGTGCTTCGTTCGGTTACAGACACCACGCATTTCGCACCTTTTGGCTGCGTTGGTGCGTACCCTGAAGCTGCGACGGTTCGCTGGCGCTGTCAGAGTCCAACCTCTCCTACGGTATGCAGTCTGGCGACAGCTTGCGTGTCTCTCGGTCGCTTCTGCTTGAGCATGGCAGACACCCGGGGACCTCTTGGTACGCCATTCCGGCGCCGAGGTTGGCAGACTCCCTACTGTTCAGATATCCTTGACACGGTGGGGGTCTTGCATCACGCCACTTTGGCAGCGTAATGACTGCTCCCTGAGTGCTGGTTGCCGTCAGTCTTTGGGCTGCAGCACCGTTGCACCCGCCGCATGGCGCCGGCCGCGTTCGCGCGCGCTTTCGGCCAATTTGTAGCGGCCGCAGCCCGACCGTTACCCGCCGCCGCTGGCGCTTCCGCCCGCGGCTGTAAAACAATATCCCCCACCAGCCACCAGCATACCGCCCTCTGGACTTTTCCTTGCGGGCCGCAAATCAAAAACAGTATCCCCACCAACCCATCCAGAGACGATGCCCAGGGGAGTTGAGGTGATCAGGGAAGTCGGGGAGCATGCAGAAAAACAAAGGGCGGGGGAAGCTGTCACGTACCCCAAGAGGGGGAGGATGGAGAAGGAATCCTCGTCGGAGGGGGAGGGGGAGGAAGAGGAGGAGGAGGAGGAGCATAATGAGGAGGAGGATGTGGAGTAGGGAGAGGACGAGGAGGACGAGAAGGAGGAGAATGAGCAGATGGAGGAGAAGGAGGAAAAGGAGGAAAAGGAGGAGGAGGAGGAGGAAGAGGGGGATGATAAATTGAAGAGGACGGCCAACCGAAGAGCCAGAAGCGTCTTAAATGCATTTCGGAGATCCTCTTGAGGCGTCTTGGGGGTCTCTTGGGAGCCTCTTGGAAGCCTCTTGGGCGCCTCTTGGGGCCGTCTGGGCGCCTCTTGGGGTGCTCTTGGGGCGCTCTTGGGGGCTGTAGGGGCGCTCTTGGGGCCATTTTGGAGGAGATCGATCAACGAAGGGGGGTCCCCTTTATTAGCCTCCCCCCTCAGGAGCTCCAAACATCGCCTCTTGGGGCGCTCTTGGGGCGCTCTTGGAGCGCTCTTGGGCGCTCTTGGGGCCGTCTTGGGGCTCTCTTGGGCCTCTTGTGGGGCCATCTTGGAGCCATCTTGAGGCCTTGGATGGCCATCGGACGCGAAACGGGGTGAAAGCAACAAACATTGATTGTCTTGGGACGATTTTGGCCCCTTCGGGGCCTCCTTGGGGAGCTCTTTGGCCACTTGGAGCCGTCTTGGGGCCGTCTTTGGGCCTGTTGGAACCAACTTAGGAGCCATCTCGAGCGATCTTGCGCTATCTTGAGCCATCTTGGAGCTCATCTTGGGCTCTCTGACGCGCTCTTGAAGCCATCTTGGGGCCAAAGAGCCGTCCGACCGCTCGGGGAACCCTCCGTCCAGGTCCAGGGGAGGGGGTAGGGGGAGGGGTAAACCCCTCCCCAAGGGGGAAGAGGGAGGGGTGGAAGAGGATCTGTTCTAGGCCACTTACGCCCAGAGGGCTGGTGGGATTTCCTAGTTTTCAGCATGCTTTGCTTAGGTAAGCCGGCCAAGCTGCCTCACTGAATTGTGGGATTGATTGGGGTATCGCAGCTCGAACGATATAGTATATTCGCCTTTTTCTACAAGCCTCGACCTGCCTCTGTACCCCTCTACACCCATCCGAGGAATTCTAGACGCTTCGCGTATCCCCACCAGCCCGTCCAGAAACGACGCCCAGGCGAGTAGAGGGTCGTCCCGAGGGGCTTTTCGGCGTCTTGGGTGCCTCGGGGGGGCCTCTGTGGGCCGTTCGGGATCCTCTTTGGGGCCTCCTGGGGGCCTCTTGGGGCCTCTTGGGGCCATCTTGGGGCCTCTGGGAGCACCTTGGGTGCCTCTGGGGGGTCTCTTGGGGCCTCTTGGGGGTCTCTTGGGGGCCTCCTGGGGGCCTCTTGGGGGGCCTCTTGGGGTCATCTTGGGGCCATCCTGCGGCCTCTTGGGGCATCCTGGGGGCCTCTTGCGGCCATCGTGGAGGAAATCGATCAAAGAAGAGGGGTTCCTTAATTAGAGTCCCCCCCCCAGGAGCCACGATCCTCGTGAGGGGTGTCGAATTTTAGCCTTCCCAGGGGTCGATCTTGGGCGCTCCAGCGCGCCGCGGAACCCCCTGTCCAGGTCAGTGGGGAGGGGGTAGGGGGAGGGGTAAACCCCTCCCCGAAGGGGAAGAAGGAGGGGTGGAAGAGGGAACGCTCTAAACCACCGACGCCCAGAGGGCTGGTGGGATTATTGTTGAAGTAGTCGAAGGAGCCAGTGGTTTTAGTCAGTTGTGGAGATGGGCTGCGCCCGGGGTGGGAAGTGCAGCCCGACTTGCACCCTTCTTCTGTTCCTGTCTTTGATGATCGGGGAGATGTACGGTGCTTCGAACTAGGAATGAGACCCTTCATGTTCTTGCCAGACTGTTGGTTTCCCAGTTCTACCCCGTCCTACCTAGCCCCCGACCACCCTCACGGCGTGGTGCAGAAGCGGATATTTCGATCTTGCATGAACGCATATTGGGGATTCTGGTGCTTCGCCTTTGCAAGCCCAGGGGTACTCGTCGTTCACGGGGATGCATCATTTGTGCAACCTTGACGGTATTTTTCCAGACTGTATTTGTTTTCCAGGATCCGGTGATGGCGTCTGAAGGCATCTTCCAAGGGGAGGGCGGCTCGAATGCTGCATCCTATGGGCCACCACCGTACCATGGCCGCCTGTGAGGATCCCAAGGCCAGGCAGAGCACCCGCCTTATGACGAGGAACTTTAGACTCCCCCGAGGAAGAGCGTAGCAGGCTTGACCCCGGTACACTTGACTCCGACCCAGGCCTGCAGACACCCTTTGGGGCGCAGTAGGGCCCCCCCCCCTCTCGAGAGCTCCCAGCAAGGGGCTGGCAGGGGTCGCAGCGTTCGACAAGACGGAGAGGCTGTAGAATCTTCGGAATCGACGCACGGAGGAGGAGGAGGAGCAGGAGGAGGAGGAGGAGGGGGAGGAGGAGGAGTGCCCGCTTCCAGGCTTCTTTGGGGGGCCGTGACCCGGAGGGGCCGCGACCCGGAGGGGCCGCCCGCGAGGCGCCCCCCGTGTACATGCAGCCCGCCACTCAGGCGCTGCCGCGCCCGGCATCAGCTGCTCCGCGCGTGCGGCCGTTCTCCGCAGTCGTCTTTCACCGAGCGCGTTCCACTCCTCTCAAGTCGGGCCTGTCCCTTCTACAGGAGGGATACTCAAAACCAGTCAAAACATAGTCAGGGGACAATTTTACGATTATTTTTGAGCATTTTTGGAATATTTTGTCGTTTTTGTTTTGTTGTTTGTTTTTTTCTCCCCCCCCAATTTTTCATTTTTTATTTACAGATTGTTCACCCAAAATCCCCCTGTAGGGGAACACGCCCGACTTAACACTACTCGCGAAATGCCTGCTCGCAAACGCCCGACAAAACACATGTCTGATTCGATATCATTTCTCGCAGATGCCCCCCCAGCGGATCCGGGCCATTTGCGAGCAGTCACTCTGCGAGTAGCGGAACGCGCTCGTCTAGTCTTGGCCCATCGCATCGCCGCACTTGCCCCTCTCGGCAGGAGGCGGATGGGGACGAGGATGAGGAGGGGTTAAAATGATGATTTCCCTGGACTGGTATCGGTTCGGATTAGCTCGTGGTGCTGTCGTGTGCTTGCGCGCCTCATACCATAACAACACTAGCAATCCTCTGCACTCCCAACCTCATTTATCACTCTCTGTACTTTGCCCCGCGGTGAGCTCAGTCTTCCACCTTTTACGAGCAAACGAAATGCTCCGCAAATGGTGTAACGAGGTGGTGCCACAGCTACACGCTGGACATACATTGTGTTGTAGTGTGTGCAATGCAAACACAGATGAACAGGCGAACAAACAACACATATGATAATGAGAAGGGGTTGTAGTATGAGAGTTGGGATTGTACGAAAGCCAGGAAGCAGAGGATTTCAGCGGCGAAGCTGCAGCCGATCGATGCTTGGCAGCGAGGAAGAAAACATCTTCCTCGAACCCTGAGGCCTCCGCTACATTCCTGTACATATTGAGGTACGCTATTTCACTGGCTTCGAAGCTCGAGCGCTGCACAAATGAGGGATCTGGGCAGCAGGGTTTTCACCTCATTCTCCAAGGTCTTGACTGCAAGAGAGCATCTGTCAGGTTCACCAGGATCGCTCGATGCTTGGCAAGCCGCTTGGCTGGCCGCTCGACAGATCGATTCTCTCTCTCATGGGATCGAAATGACATTGGATTCAGCCAGCGCGCGGGCAGGGTGTACCTTCGGCGACTTCAATGTGAGCCTTCGCCCCAGTCGACCCACCGTGCACCACCATTCGTACGTCGTTTCTGTCTTTCTCTGTGGCATGCTCACTTTGGACTCTCTTTCTTCTTGTTTGTGGCATGCCATGGTTTTTTGTCCCTGATCGTCTTGACCTACCATCTACTTATCTGACCCATGCACCTCTGTCCACCACGTCTTCTCAATAGTACGTCTTCTTCTGTTTCGCCTCTGCCATGCATGCCTGTCTCTCCCTGTCAGACTGTAGTCATTATCGAAGACGCCTACGGCGAATCACCGCCGCCCCCTGCCTTTTTGGAAGCGCCTATGTGGCCGAACGTTGAGGGAAGACCTGCCAAGCTATCGGACCACGTGTTCCCCGAATCGGTTTGGAAAGCCTTCGGGGAACACGTGGGCATCTTGAAGGTCATCTTGGCCGTCTTGGAGGCCTCTTGGGCAAGCTTTGGGCGATCTTTGGGGCTTTTTGGGCCGTCTCGGGCCAGCTTCGAGCCAACTTCGGCCATCTTGGTGGGTTCCTGGCACGTCTGAAGCCGTCGGAAGCCGTTTGGGGGGCCTCTATGGGCCGACTTGGGGCCCGCTTGGAATGCTCCAGGGCCGTCTTGGAGGCCATCTTGGGCGTCTGGGAGGCCATCTTGGGCGTGTTGGAGGCCTCTTGGGCCCTCTTGGGGCCCTCTAGGGGCCATCTTGGAGGCCACTTGGGCCATCATGGGGCTCTCTTGGGGGCCTCTTGGGCGATCTTGGGGGCTTCTTGGGCCGTCTCGAGCCGTCGGAGAGCCGAAAAGGCGCAAATGCCAGAATCCTTCAAAAACCAAGGAAAAATCAATGATTTTGGCCTCTTCGGACTCTCCTGGAGGACCTCTTGGAGGCCTCTTGGGCCGTCTGGGAGGCCTCTGGGGGGCCTCTTGGGCCGTCTTGGGCCGTCTTGGACTCTCTTGGGCCGTTTTGGAGGCCGTCTTGGACCATCTCGGGCGGACTTGGAGGCCATCTTGGGCCATCTTCGCGATTTTTTGAGGATGTCCCGAGCGAAACGGCCGTTTTTTGGAGGATTTTTTCCGGTCGTTGAGCACGTTTGGGGGCCTTCCGGGTGGCCGGCGGGTTCTGCCGGAGCCCACTGGGGAGTTCTTTTGGAAAAAGAACCAAAACCAAAACCTGAAACATCCAGCACGCCGTGCACCCCTGCAAGCAGGGGGCGGCGGATCCAGCTGTCTGCGGCACGTCCCGCCACCGTGCCAGCCCCGTATTCTCTGTGGCGACTGTTCGGGGGGGGGGGCACGGGATGCCGTTATGTGTGATACCTCGTGTCTCCAGGCTTGGGAGAGCCGTTATGAGGATAGCGAGGATTATAATGATGATGGGGATGGTGATGACGATGTTGATGATGAGGATGCTGCTGATGATGATGATGGTGGTGATGATGATGCTGATGACATTGATGCTGGTAGTGATGTTGATGTTGATGATGATGATGCTGATGATGCGGATGATGATACTGATGATGTTGATGATGATGACGACGATGATGCTGATGCTGATGATGATAGTGATGATGCTGATGATGATGGTCGGTGATTCCGATGATGATGATGATGGTCGTGATGCTGATGATGATGGTGGTGATGCTAACAATGACGACGATCATGATGATGATGACGAGGATGATGATGATGATGATGATGATGATGATGATGATGATGATGCTGATAGTGATGATGATGATGATGATAATGATCATGTTGATGATGGTGGTGGTCGTGATGATGATGGCGATGCTGGTGATTGTGATCATGGAGATGGCGATGATGATGGTGATTGTGATGGTGATGGCGATGATGATGATGGTGATTGTGATGGTGATGCTGATGGTGATTGTGATTGTGATGACGATGATGGAGATGATGATTGTGATGGTGATGGTGATGGCGATGATGATGGCGCTTGTGATTGTGACGGTGAATGTGAGTGTGATTGTGATTGTGACTGCGATGATGATGGTGTTGATGATGATACTGATGATGCTGATGATGGTGGTGATAATGATGATGACACTGCTGCTGCTGATGATGCTGCTGATGATGAAGGTGGAAGTGATGATGATGCTGATTATGCTGATGACCTTGATGAGGACGATGCTGCTGCCGCTGCTGCTGATGAAGATGATGATAGTGATGGTGATGGTGCTGGTGCTGGTGATGATGATGATGATGATGATGGTGATGATGATGATGATGATAGTGATGATGGTGATGATGATGACACTGCTGCTCCTGATGATGCTGATGATGATGATGGTGGTGGTGGTGGTGTTGGTGTTGGTGGTGATGATGATGATGATGATGGTACTGATGCTGATGATGATGATGATGATGATGGTGATGATGATGCTGATGCTGGTGCTGATGCTGATGCTGATGATGATGATGGTGATGATGATGATGATGATGATGATGATGATGATGATGATGATGATGATGATGATGATAATGTTGATGATGATGATGACACTGCTGCTCCTGCTGATGATGCTGATGCTGATGATGATTATGATGAGTATGATGATGATTCTGCCGATGATGCTGGTGGTGGTGGTGGTGGTGATGGTGATCCTGGTGCTTGTGATTATGGTGAAGCTCGTCTGGGCCGTCTTGGGGCTGTCCTGGCCTCCTGTGTGGCAGTCTTGGGGGTCCCGTGGGGCCCTCTGAGGCCCTCTTGGGGCGCTCTGACGCCGGCCTGGGGCTCGCTTGGGCCCGTCTTGGGGCCCTCTGGGTCGCGTGGTGGGTGCCTGGGGGCGGGCCGTCGTGGGGCCGTCCTGGGGCCGTCTTGAGGCCGTCTTGGATGCCTCCTGGGCTGTCGCGGAGTCCTCGTGGGCCGTTCCGAGCCCGCGGCAGCCGGATAAGGGGCGAGAATGCGAAGTCATGTGTCGCGCCCCCTAGGAAGCCCACATATTCGATTCAGATCCGACATACGCTGCTAACGTCACTGCTAACACTAGTCCTAGACGGGGTTTAGCAAGTTCGCCAGGCACTGCCCCTGGCCGTGGCCCTTTTTTGCCACGTCGTTGTGCCTGATCAAGTGTCACGCCACCAGTGCGCCTTGATTGCGCCCTCTACCAGGCCACACTGCTGGTCATTGCCTTGGTTGCTCAGGTAGCTGCGCAAGCCTTCCAAATCAATATCGAAGCCCATTTCCGCCATAGCGTTTTTCACACTCAAGCATTGGGGAGGCAATGCGTCCATGGCAATTCTGGGTGTGACTGCCGTCCGCAGCAAGGGAGCGCTTGCTGCTTCCGATTGGGAATCCAGGCGCGGTCGCGTGAATGCCCTAGCGCACGAGTCGGCTTGAACCCAGGGTTTACTGTTCTCCATGCGAGCAGTTCTGGATGCAACTGATGGCAAGCGCCGAGCGTGCGACGGATGGCGCCCTCATCCCGAGCGCGCCCTCTGGCGTCGAGAGAGTGCCACGCCTGCCACGCTGTCTGTGCAAAGGCTAGCGCCCCGACCTGCGCACACCCTCTGGTGTCGAGCAACTGCCGCGCCTGGCACGCATTGCGGGCGTGCGAGGCGTTGCGAACCCACCCCCTGCGCACCCCTCTGGTGCGCGCAACGGATAACGCACCCCTGCTCCGCTTCTTCCTGTCCCCTCGTCGTCCGCGGCCCAAGCTCCGGCTCCAGCTCCGGCTCCGGCCGTGCGGCGCCCGAACGTGGGCGCGCCATGGCACCCTCCCCTGGCGCCGTGCTTGGCAGGGCCCGCGGGCGCGGCGGCCGCCCCCTCGGCGTGTCGGCGCTCTGGGCCGCCGCTGCCGCCTGCTGCGGCGCCCAGGCTGCGGCCTCCGCCCTGGCCTCGCCGGCGCCCGCGGCCGAGAGCCCCGGCGCCAGGGCTCCTGGCGCCAACGGGCCAGCCAGCCCCCCTGGCCGCTGTGCCGCGTCGGGGGAGCCTGGCCTGAGGGATTGCCGCTGGGGCGCAGCCGGAGGCGGCATGGAGGCCTCCCAGGCGCACCAGCTCCGGGGCCAGCGCTGGAACCACGTCCTCCCCGCCACCTTCAAGGACGGACACATGGGTGCGGAGGCCGTGAAGCTGCTCTCGGAGGCCACGGAGAGGCTCGACCGGACAGTCCATGAGACCTCCTTGCATGTCGCGGTCCTCCACGGCCCGCGCCATCAGGCGGACAAGGGAGAGCTCACGTACCTGTGCCGGGGCGACCTCATCACGCCCAAGGGCGTGCGCCGGGACCATCTCGCCGCCCTCGCGAACACCGTCGGGTTCGGCCGCCGCGAGCAAAGAAACATCTTCGAGGCCAAGGACGGGATCGAATGGGCCTTCCTGCCGGAGGCTCTCGCCGACCGCCCTGCGGATGCCTCCGCGGAGTTGACTCACAGGGAGATCGCGACCGCGCCCCGGGGCTACGCGCCAGAGGACAAGACGCCTCAGGTGAAGAACCCCGCGAATTCAGGGAGGGATGCAGCCATCTGGGCGTTGGCTGCCATGATGCATGATTTTCATCTCCACCTGAGCTCTCACCTTCCCCACCCCTCCCCTCCTCCCCCCACTGCGTCCTGCAGCGGCAGCCTCGTGAGGGTTCCAGCCGACGATGGGGCGTCGGCTGCCTTCCACCACTGTTCATTTTTGGTCTCACCAAGCCTCCGGACCCCTTCCCCCCAACCTAACCTTTCTCTGCTGCCTTGCTCCGCCCCTGCCTGCCCGCGCCAATGCCTTCCCCCACGACCCCCCGCCTTCGTTCGACACTGGATGCGGAACGACTTGCCCGACGCACACGACCGACAGACGCCCACTCACAACAGCGCCGACGACCCCCGAAAACAGGTCAACGGCGTCGTCGATCACGACGGAGTCAAGCACTACGTCAATATCCTGCTCGTCGGGTTCGTGCACCACCCTGTGGCACACCCTGCCGGCGTCAGGCTACACGCCGCAGTCCACCCGCCCCGACACGAGGAGCTCCCTGCCGTCCGCCATGATGGAGTCGGGCACTGCGCCGCTTACCTGCACATCGGATTCGAACAGCACCTCATGACCCACCTCCGCGGGGTCAAGCTCCACACCGGCATCCAGCATCACGCAATCGAGCAGGTCAGCCGGCGACAGATCCACCTGAACGCGGTCCACAATCACCGAGACCTCGAACTCGATGGTGCCCACGGCGATGGAATCCAACACCAGACCGTCACCTGGCCCCTCGGAACCAAGCTGCGCAGTGTTGCTGATCACGATGGAGTCAAGCACCACGTCGAGGTTCGGCAGGGCGGCTGCGACCAGCACCACGCCCGGGCTTACCATAACGGGGTCAGGCACGGCGGCGCTGAGCATCAGCATGGCGACGAACAGTATGACGCCACCACATGCACAGCTATCGAGCACAGCAGAATCTGGCAGTATCAAGCTGGTGACCACGGCGGAGTCGCGCCACGCGTCGCCATCCAGCGACGCGGAAACGAGCAGTACCACGTTGTCAACCACGACGGAGTCGTGCACCACGTCGCCGACGCACACTTTGGCCTCGAGGAGCACCCTGCTGCCCACTCTGACGGGATCCTGCTCCCCGTCGCCATCCATCGTCCTGGGATCGAGCAGCTCGGCACCGACCTGCAGTCCGGCATCGTGCAGCCCCGCGTTGGCAGCCGAGTCGGTGGCACGCTCCATCGGATGGAGCCGGGCACCACGCCTTTGTCCTACAGCACTGGTGCGAGCAGGACCACGTCCGGCACAACGGATTCGAGCATCACGTCGCCAACCATCAGCACGGACCCGAGCAGCACGACCAGCCAGACTCACAACGAACAGTGTTCTACAAGCACCGCACCTTCGAGCATCACAGCGCCTACCTCGACGGAGCTGCGCATCACGCTGGTGTCCAGCATCGCGACATCAACCAGTACCACGTCGCCGACCACCCCAGAGTCGAGCACCACACCGCTATCTTGCACCGGTGGGCCTCGCCCGCCTGCGCGGCCTGCTCGTCCTGGATGGCTTCGCGGACGCAGGGAAGGCTTAAAACCCGGGGGGCGCCTTTTGACCCCCTCCCCAGGGGTCAGGATGATCTGTATCGGGCCCTGTTCTGGGGGACGCCAGCCCATCCCCGTTCCGTGCTGTCCGGCGCGTGGTACGTCCACGATTCCGTTCGTGACATCTCTCTGGAACGTGCGGTTTCGAGAGCTCGGGCGTGCGTGGCCATCGACTCGATCGCGCGGCATTGCCTCGCTAAGCTTTCCCCCGCCCCCCCACGCCACGCTGATAGGTCGCGCGATCTTGCGGGTGACCCGTCGGAGGGCCCCTCCTTCCCTCCCTCCTCCCCCTTCTCCTCCTCCTCCGCTCCCCCTTTTGTCGTCTCTTCCCCCACCCCCTCCTGCCTCTCGCCGCCTCGTCTCGTTGCCTGTGCTCTTTCAGGGCTGGAACACCCTGCAGGCCCCCTGCAGGACTGGTCTGCCATCCTGTGCCTCGTCGCCAACGCCTCCTACATCCACCAGTACTGGATCGACCAGTACCACGCTCCCCACTACGGCGGCGTCGAGCGCCTCGTCGATGACCAGCCGCACCGAAACGAGCAGCACCACTTCGTGCCCCGCGCCGCCCACCACGACGGGGTCCACCACCGCATCCCGCTCCGGCAGTACGGAATCGAGCAGTTCCACGGTGTCGACTGCGACCGCGTCGAGCATCCCCTGCACCACTGCCGCCTGGACGCTGGCTCGCCCTGGATGGCCTCCAGGACTCAGGGCCGTAACGGCCTCGGGGGTGCCCGGTCGGAGTTCCCCTCTGCCCCGCCCCCACACCTGTTCCTTTTCCCCCCCGCTTCCCCGACCCCCTCCCCGCTCGTCATCTTGCCCCTCCCTTCCCGGACCTCCCCCGCCTCCCCCGGTACCTCTCCGATCAGGGGCAATTCCACCCTGCCCCCCTCTCCTGCTGGCTTTTCCCTCCTTTGCCTACCTCTTCTCCGCCTCCCCGCTGGCACTCTGTGCCCGTGGGGAGCGGTGGTGCCATTCCTTTTTCCCCTAGTCAGGCTGTTCTGATCCCCTTTGAGTCCGCCTGCCCCTGGCCGGAGCTGCGCGACCTGCACGTCGTGGGCGCCCCGCCTGCTGGGCCGCCGCGGGGCTCACCGCGCCTCCGTGCCAGGACGACCGGGATCCAGAGCACACAGAACCTGACCTTAGGTAAAAGCGGATCCCAGTTTTGTCCCCCTCCCCACGGTCTCCCCGCCGACCTTGCCTTCGCTTTGGATCCTTTTTTCGCCCCCTGTGACCAGGCGCACCCCCCCCCCCCTCCGGCTACCAGCTCTCCGCCTCGCCCTCCGATTCCGCCTCTGCCCCCCCACCCCCCTGACGGGGTGAGAGGGCGGGGGACCTTTCTGCTCACCGCAGGGCCCGTGAAGGACCTAACACCTACCCACCTGCGAGGAACTTGCATGCTGGTGCAGTCGCTCTTGCCGACGCCGCGGGGCATCCAGAACATCGACGCGGCCAGGCAGCGCCACGACCAGCTGGATCCCGACTCCTTGGAGGACGACGCGTTCGCGGAGATGCCCGGACGGCCCCGAACGCCACCACCAGCCTCCGCGCGGCTACCACCGACGACCTGCACCTCCAGGCCCTCTTCTACTTGTACGTCCTGCCCTCCCTCCACGCCAGGCGCCCACGCGAACGTGGATTTCAGGTCCCTCTTCCTGCGACCGGCCTCCAGGGCCCTCCCCTGGCCTGCCGAGGCCCCGCGCACCACAGCTGCCGAGTTGTATTTCCTCCGGCACGTGCGTTGCTGCGCGGCCTCTTCGACCGGATGCGCGTGCAGCGGGCGCTCGAGTCCGGCAGCCCCGATCAACGCCATGAACGGCGTGACGGACTCGTTCGACGCAGTTGTGCGCGTCGTCGGGTTCCTCCTCGACCCGCTGCTCAACGCTGTCACAATGAACCTCGCCCATGTCCCACTAATCTCCACTAATGAGCGGGAGAGACAAAGAAAACAAAAAAAACAAAACCACGTTCTTCTTTTAAATACGCTGGCGCTCGCAACCTTTTGCGTTTCAGGAGGCAGGAACGGAAGATAATCATGGGGACAATGGAGATATCAATGGGGAGGAACAGCGGGCAGGGACTGGGAGGAGGAGCAATGGCGGCAGGGCCGCAGAGGAGACCGTGGAGGACATAGGGCATGAATTCGGGCAGGCAACTGGTTGGCCACGTCAATGCTCGATGAGGAACGGTGGGGGAGGGGCAAGGGGCAGGGATTAGGAAGGAGAAGGACGGGGCGCAGGATTGAAAGGACAAGGGCGGGCTATCAGGCGCAGAGGTAGTGCGCGCTGGCGGACCATATGAGGGGCCAGGGGCAGAAGTGATATTGGGGGGGTTAGGGCGTTCTGCTTTCTCGTCGCGGAACATGTCCTATGGATTGGCGGGCTGAGGGAGCAGGAGGGACGAGTACTTTTGGAAGTGGGCAGGAGGAACGGTGAGGAAAGCGATGTGATTGTTCCGCGGTTGGGCGGTGGAGGGAATATGAGGGAAGATGAAGTGGGGTGCCAGGGTGAGGAGGGCAGAGGCGGAGGATGGAGGAGGACAGGATGAGGAGGGAGGAGGAAGGGTGGTGCCCGTGCCCGCGCTTGCGCACGCGATGCCCGCCGCGTTTCGGCTCGGGCATCGCGTGGCCAACGCCGCGGCGTTGGCGCCTCCGCTCGTGGAGGCGGCGCCCGCCCCTTTTGCGGGGGGGGGGCGCGCGAGGAGGAGAATGATGAGGAGGAGTTAGGATGGAGGGGCCATAGGGTCACGACGTGCATTGGGGCGGATGGGGTGGCGGAGACACTTGGACGAGGGACGGCATAGTCATTGTAGGTGGAAGGGGGGGGGGGGGGGGGGGGGGGGGGTCTGAGGCTTGATGAAATGGAGCGCAAGCAGAAGGAGGGGGAATGTCGGCAGGGGGTGGTCGTAGGTGACGCGGGGGCATCGCAGGTCGCCGTTGTCATTGCATGCGTCGTCGTCGTTCCCGTCGTCGCGTTCGTCGTTGTCGTCCTCATTGTCGTTGTTCGCATCGTCATTCTATGTGTCGCCCGCCGTGCCCAGCGAATATCTGCAGTGTATGCGTCGTCGTCGCATTCATCGTCGCCTCCGTCGTTTTCGTGTAGGCGTTCGTTTTCCTTGTCGGAGGTGTCGCGTCGATGTGTCGGGTTTCTCGTCGTCCTCGTTCCTGTCCCCTTCGCAACTCAGAATATTCTTCCTCCGAGTTCATCGGTATTTTTTTGTATTTTCTTTCTTTTCACCTTCACCTCTTCCGTCGCACTCTCCCTCCCATGCCTCTGTCAATGATTTCTTCTTCAGGCTTCTCCGAGCTTGCTCTGCAGCGCTCCTCTTAAAGAGTGCCCTCTCCCCTTCCCGCGTAGCCCCTGCGTCTCATACGTGTCGTTTTCTGACTACATCCGCCTCCGACGCTGGCTCTCTAGTTTTTTCTTCTCGTATCCTGCGTCTTCAATTTCTTGCGCGTCGTTGCTGGCATGCTGCTTCTGGCCCTCCTTCT